TACTAACGATTGTCGATATGATGGTGCCGCAGAGCGAGCAGTGTGGATATGTCTACTGTATTCCTTGCAGGCGTGGTGAAGTCCATTTGGGAAAACGGGTAATACCAGCGAACGAAGGAGAAAGAAACACATGCCCAACCTTGCAAAATGAAAGACGCAGTGTTTTTACTTAAGAGAAAAAGTCCATGCTCGACAACGATGAGGCAGTAGACAGATGAAGAATCACTCAGCAATCAAAGCAGAATGCAAAAATAGCGTTTCAGCTGTGAAACACGTCATGAAATTGATTGGCAGGATATCGGCGCAGTTTTTGGCGAAGATACCTATGACACTATATATAATACATAATGCCTTATAACTTTATATTTAGAAAGATCATGCAGGCTCTGTTCATCCATGCAGACAGATGTTTGAGCAGGGGCAGTAGATTGGATCTGAGCAGTATCTTGACGTCAGCTGTTAATAAGAGGTTGCCAACACCAGTCTCTGCTCAGCCCATTATGATCCGAAATTTGACGTCCACCGTTTGACTTTTATTAAATCGGTGCTTATCATTTTACATTGACAATTATAGCTCGAGACATCGGCAGTTTCTCCAAGAGAATATATACATGTAGCCTATCTAGAATTTTTTGTCCAGCAAATAAGGTTTTAAAAGTGACACCGATATAACCATTGAATGCGTAATTTAATGTCCTTTTTCAAGACTTTATTTTCTTCCTCGAAAGTACTACATAGAGTTTCCTGATTAATACTAACTTCTTTCGATTTGTTGTGACATCCCGAAAAATTGTTTTAACCGGCATTATTTCTAGTAAATTTTAATACTTCCTATGTTTGCCTCAGTTATGTTCCTTTTATATTTATCCTTGGTTTTTGTTCGCGGAACATCAGTTCTTATTTTTTAGCTGGACATTGAATCGCTGGAAACTGATAACAAGGAAGACCTGCTGGAAGAAATGAAGCCGGTGATTATCACACAGTTATCTCTTGTGCATTAGTTTTCATGGCACAAAAGTGTTATATCTTTTTGGTTTTTTATTTATATCTAAATGCCTACTCTTTCTGTTAAAATTGTCGCCCTGTGGCAACATTTTTACCATAGTTAGCGAGTGTAGGAGGAGATTCTTTTGATCGGTCTGAATGAAGATGGTCCACAAGACTAAAGTAGATATGAATATATGAATCGTTTTGAGGAGGGTTCGATTCTAAAATCCAGGTGTTGCGAGCTCACTTATCTAATTGTGAGTAATACGGTGTAACAGAAAAAATCAAGCCAAACTATATGCAGTCACTGTTCAGTAGTAGTTTGGGAGCTTGCCGTAGCCGCGTCATAGGACTCAGCAAATCCTGGAAATATCTTGTTGAGGTAAATCGGCTTGCGACGAAGAATGTGAGTTTTGCCGTAACAACAAGCATTCTATAATGTAAATCTGGGATGCCCTAACTATTGCAGCAAACGTCACAAATGTGGGTTGTTCAGCTGTTCAAGCTTTGTTGTTTTGACTGGGAGTGACAAAACGAGCATCAAGGTTATAAAAAATGTTAAATAACCCTCGCGATCTGTTTTGGCTAGCAATATGCTAATTTTCGATATCACCGGTAAGAACAACAGCTACGTGTCGCTGCCGGATTTGCATTGTGTAGTGCCATAGGCACGACTACTCTGCGTAAATTCTGAGAAGTTAAATGACTACGAAAGTTAATTACACAATTTTTGAATTTAATTCTTCTCCTTTGGTAAAACCGGAAAAGGCCGTGATATCGACTACTTAAAAATATTTTAAAGAATACGTGCATTTTAAGACGATATACATTCGGTAGTAAGGAGGTAGTACCGTTTATGGATGACCACTTTTGATGAACACCGATAATATTCATCATCCAGTCTATGATGGAGGTTGCTCAGTCGGTTGTATTCTTACTCCGAAAATGCCAGGCTTCTGCTGGAAGGAACAAGAAACTATGCAGTATGCTTGCCATACAGATGTTGTCGACTCTGCCTTTAAAGGATGAGGCACTCCAGGCTGACGGCATATGGAGCGCCCCACCATTCAGTTCACGAAAGCAAGTGCGACAGAAATAGCTCAGTGATGAAGATTTAAGGGCGATTAACGTTCCGTGGTTGCAAATTTTCCTTTTTTATAATCAGTTGCGTGCCACAAAAGATGGGTTAAAGATCACGATGTTAGAAAGTCTTTTGATGACTGTTGTACCATCATATATTTTGCTTGATCTATGGATCAAGTTTTTGTCTTGGTAATTTTATAAATTTTCTAGGATGGCGGGGCAGAAGTACAGACGGCAGCTGGAGAGAATCATGAGACTAATCGACAGCTGATGCAGAAATTATGCGAGTACATTTACATGAAAGACAC